CCCACGCCAGGCCATCAATCAAAAAGCCGCACGTTGTCTCTGACGTGATGACCCAGCACTCTCTGCCTCCCTGGCACCTTAATTAGAATTCATAGCAAAATAGATGCAAGGAAACGGTTTGGGCCCTTCATAATTTTATTGGAAATTTATTGTTATTAGAAGAACCATTTGCTTAGTGTGATTTTTCCATTACCAGCTTGTCATGCAGGGTAGATAATATGGCTGAGGGGGGAGGAGGAGGCGTTGTGTGAACTCCATAGATTGGGGTGTCAGATTTGTTGATGGTGCATGGAGTTTACCTTGGGGCCGTATCGGAGAAGTTGGTAAAGAATGCACAATGCCATGCAACAGAACAAGCATCTCTGTTGGAAATAGAGCTGCACACTTACTGACATGGAGAGAGGGAGACTCACAGTTAAAAGGTTAGGAGGAAGTAAACCTCAAAGGTCACAATGTGGATGTTTAAACATGCTTCTTCAAGAGGATTATCAACATTGGAACTTGAAAATTTGAGTTTGATAAAATTTAATCATAGAAAGTGTTCTACCTGGATTTATTGGAAATAAACACTAATATTACAAATGCTGATAAACAAAGAACAAAAAACAACATTTTATATGGATCAATATACTGATCCAGAATGATTAAATGATAAATTATCCAAATTTGTCAATGCAAAAGGAAAGCATTGATCCATATCTTTAAGATACACATTTATTTTAAAATGTTCGTACACAAGACTATACTGAACAGTCCGTCTGATAATATGTGTTATTATTAGTAGAATTCTGTTCGATGCAAATGCCTGTGCAAGTTTAGAAATAAAATCGTATTTTATATATATATATATATATATATATATATATATATATATATATATATATATATATATATATATTTATCTATCAATCTGGTTTGAATTGAAATCAGATCAGACCGTAACAAACTTTGATATCGCTAATCCATATAAGATCACATTGAGATAAAGCTGCAGATTCACGGCCCTAATATTGATTACTACTTAAAACCCCAATGCAAGTATTTAGAATGAATAGAGACCTATCTATTAAGCTGTTGTACAAAACCTATTTTTTAGACATTAAGACGGGTTTAACAATCTAATATTTGCAGATTAATTAATACAGGTAATCAATTGACCATGGTAACTTTTTGCTGTTTTTGCTGGTTAATATTTTGTTTTTGGTTCATTGGTATGTCTTATAACCAAAACAAGATAGAGAGACCCCTACTTTGTTACAAAGTTGCAGCAACAGGTGGGGAAAGGGCAGCCTTTGATTATTATTTACTCCAAAAAGCCCCAGGATAACTGGTGCTTTCTCTCTAAAATGAATTTGTGTCTTTACATTACAGTAACGCCATAGTCATACATTTTTAGGGGTTTTGAAACCATAACTCTTAAAAATTGAAATCTGCTGGGCGTGCAGGTGGAGCAGTGGTCTTAGTCCTCGACGCGGCCAACCCGGGTTCGAATCTGGCCTGTGGTCCTTTGCCGCATGTATCTCCCCCTCTCTCATAAAAAAATAAAATAAAAAATCAAGTGTGCATCAATACCGATAACGGGCTCATTATGAATCCTGTTTCAGTGGTAGTGTAGCATCAGAGGAGACACATGCCGTCTTCCTCAATCACTCTCCTCAAGCAAGGCTCGCAAATACCCGGTTCAATCCCCACAGCCGGCACTCTGGGTCCCTGAGCAAGACCCTTAATCCCACGCTGCTCCCTGGGCGCCGCACAGTGGCAGCCCACTGCTCCCCAAGGGATGGGTTAAATGCATGTAGTTGATTTCTCCACTGTGAGATCAATAAAGTTCTATTTGATTTAATTTTAATTAATTACTTATAAGTAATCATCTTAATGTCTGGGAATCTAACAATCATTGATTGCTGAACCTAAGCTAACGTTATGTTGGAAAAAAGAAGTCTTTCCTTTGTTTGTTTTTTCTAAGCACATACTGATATTTTAATCAACGCTGGAAAGACATTTAGTTTGTTTCAGAGACAAGCCTGTGCTTCTTTTAGATTTAAAACATGGATATTTCTTTTTTTTTTATCATATATTGCATGTTTAAACAAACACAGATAATTTTTTCAGGCGTCTCTTTCATACAGGATCAAATCCAGCCACCATGCATGCAGGATGTATATGGAAACATTTCTGAAGGAGTAGGTTGGTCTAAGGACCTCATTGAATTCCAGTGTCACTGATCTGATGAGCAAAGTTGTAACATTTTGCAGCTAAAAATTCAAAAGTTAGCAGTTGGTTGTATATATCAAATTGGCAGAAAGTGAGACTCACCATCTTTGCAGATTCAAATGCTACAGAACGTCAAACTTCGGTTTTTTAAACATAAATCAACTTAGTTGATTCAGAAACCAGGATTGACTTGAAAAATATATATATATATATAATTTTATAGACAGCCAATTATCTTGTGTCTATATATGCTATGAACCTGTTATACACAGCATTCACCAGTATAATCATGTGTCTATATGCCATGCAGGCTCACAAAGTGTTTGATAAATTGGTTTACAGTATGATATCAGATTTTTTTTAACTTATGTCCAAATGCTTACATTTTAGTGTTTGCTGATACCAGGTAAAAATCTGAATACTAAGCAAAATGAGTTTTGTTTAGATCCTTGGATATTCATAGCAGATAAAGATGGACATTTACCATGAATCCGATAGATTAAGGACGCAGATTCTTACTTTGACATCATCAACATAAATGAGTCATTCTCTTTCAACACTCTTCCTTAAAAGTGCCATTTTTCAATAAACTTTTTGTTTTTGCTCTTTTGACTGTAGATTTTTGCTGCTTTATCAGCAAAAATGCTTTATCAGCATTTTTTTGTCTGACTTAATCATTCCATTTTTTTACCGCTACATTTAATATTAATAATAATAATAATAATACATAGGGTGTTGTGGGTGTGCTCGCTGTGAGTGGGTCTGTCTGTTGAGCAACAAAGGGACAGAGGGGAAACTCTCCAAATAAAAGATGAAAGACGTGACTGAAGCACAACTGTGGTCCAAAAATTGGCTCGCCTTCTGGCAAATGGTTATCTGGCATTAAACCAGTTCTAAAGAACTTTCAATTTTGGTCGCGTTTCGCTCCCCCAGTGGACAAAAGCTGTTTTGTTTTGCCTAAAGGAAGACAACATTTCCCACAAGGACCAGTGGTGTATAAACCATTGCGTGGTAAAATGCTGATCTCCCGCTCACCTGCAGCTGGATTGAACTACATTTCTGTCTCTAGTGGTTGTGTGAAAGATGATTAGTAATGAGGTAATGAATCTAATTTTGGAGAAATAATGTAAAATAAAAATGTTGAAAATAGGAAAGGTTTACCTTTGGTTTGGTGCTGCACTGCCAACATCGCCCCGCCATTGCAAGATAAATTATCAAAATTTATCTAAAACCTAAATTGTTTGTTTGATAACTATTTCCCTACATGCTGTACCAGGCCTGCAAACCTGCTAATTCCTTTTTGGAAAAGGTGGAGTTGTCTCCAGCGTTTTGCAGCCTAATATAGACGGCCCACAGCAGGGAAGCTCCCTTTATTCCAGGTACCCCAAACCTCCAGTCTTTTCTGGCATCTGAAAGTTCCTGAAATTCTGAAAAAAATTTTTTAGCAGAATGCGGTTTTTGCAACAATTTGGCTCTAAAGTAAGCCACTGGGTCCACTCAGCCTTTGATCAGTCGCAGACTAGTTCTTGGGATGTGGTTTTTCATGATTTTAGCTCTACTGATGTGATCATAAAGAGAGTCTCACGGAAAAAGAAAAAGAACAAGAAGCAGCTGCTTTGTCCTTAAAGCACCGTGGGGGGCACGATTGCATATCCTGTCAGAGTGACTTGTTAAGTTTGTGGGAGAGGGGGTTTCGCAGCAACTGGAGAGGAGAGTCCATAGCAGAGCCAACTGCATCTTCCTCAATCAGTGGTCAAAGTTAATATTAGTGTTGCACCGATACCAGTATCAGAAAGGCCCGGCAATAAAATGGTGTTATTGCTATCGGCGAGTACCAGCAAATAGGGCACCAATACCATTCTTAGAGCCAAAAGTTTGTTCAACTATTGTCACCCATTCCAGGTAGGCAATAAAAAGATCTACTGGATTCACTTTGTATTAGTCTTTTTCCTGCTTCACAAAGGAAGGCAGCAGCTTAACAAAGCCATGATGGCAATTATTTTACATCGAAATAGTATGTAGTTCTTCATATATATAGACACACACATCTATTTCAAATAGATGGCATCGGTATCGGCCAGTACTACACAGCCAGTTATCGGGTATCGGGGCCAAAAAATTGCATTGGCGCAATGCTAGTTAATATCAACATGCACATTGGCCCCCCAATGTCCAAAATTATTGTCAGTTTGTTGCCCAACAAGGTAAAGCATGTCACCAATGGACTCCTGGACAGTTGTCAAGTGTGTTCTAGATTGATGAATCATGCCTCTCGGTCCAACAATCAGATGTACACTTGTGTTTGCAGGAGAACAGCAGTTGTAAAGTTTGGTGCAGTGGAAATGTGGTTTTCAGAGGTTGCATTCAATCCTATAGTTCCATTGAAGGAAACTCTGAATGCTAATGATTCAGTAAATCATAAGGACTATGAGGGGAATATCACTGAAGCATTTTTACTTTTACTGCTGCTGTTTAATTATCACCTAACTACTTTAAAGGCCAAAAGAGTTTATTCTAATCAGAGCTGTAAATTGCTATTATGTTGACTGAAATTAAAGTTGTAGTACAAGTTGCAACAGGAGTTATTTCTTCTAACTGTGCTTTATTTCTCTAGAGTCTGCATATTACTGCTTGTTTAAGGGATAAAGTATTTGCTCAATTTATCTAAGAAGAAAATTGCTTGAAATGTTCATAACCTCAGTTAGCGGATTTAACTGTAAAAAAGGTGCATTTAAATGGCAAAGGATTTTTTTTTTTTTACCTATTCTGTGAAATCTTTCCTCCAGCTGGTGGCCGGCAGTGTTGTGATGGCCTTTGCGGAGGTGTGCCCGGATCGCATTGATCTGATCCACAAGAACTACAGGAAGCTGTGTAATCTGTTGGTGGATGTGGAGGAGTGGGGCCAGGTGGTCATCATCAACATGCTAACACGCTACGCCAGGACGCAGTTCACCAGCCCCTGGAAGGAGGTCAGGCATCTGCTATGAGTTTGCTGCTACAAGGTTTAGGTTTGCTCTGATCTTTCAAAGGTTTTAGGTCGAACAGGTCATCACGACTCAGCATATAGACAATCATGTTTTTAGGTCTGATATCACCCAAAAATATAAATGGAGGTAAATAATACCAAAGACCAAAGCTTTTCAGAAAATACTTTGTTTTCATGAATTAATCAGAACAAAGAACATTTTTATTCTGAGCAACTTCTGATTAGATGTGAAGGATCAGTCTGATTTACTATAAGGTAAATATTTTACCCATTTCTCCTTTTGACCTCATATTTAAATCACCAACAATGTTCACTTTAAAATACAACGTTTCAATATAAAAGCTGCAGATTAAAGCTCCTAAAGTATCTTGATTGATTAGGTGACACATCCGGAAATAAAAGATCGTCCTCTATATACCTTTAAACTAATAACAATCAAAGGCAGCTCTAAACAAATGAGTTTTTAACCTTGACTTAAAAGAACTCAGGCTTTCAGCAACTTTACAGTCTTCCTGGATTTTGTTCCACATAAGTGGAGCATAGGAACTAAATGCTGCTTCTTCATGTTTGGTTCTAGTTCTGGGGGTACAGAGTAGACTGGAACTAGGGCCGTTTCTCAATATGCGTTGTTGAGCATTCTCGTGTGCTTGTGACACGTCATCAGCCCGCCCCGCCCTCTTTATAGAGTTTGCATCAGGGCAGACTTGTCCATTCTCGAGATTGACAGCTGTCCCAGCATGCACTGCGGCAGCAGCAGCTTTCAATGGAGCGCTCCATTGAAAGTTAAAAGTTCTCTTTTCTGTTGCTGTTGTTCAATAAAAGTATATTTTAAGATCATTTGAGGCGAGAATATTATACTTTAAAGCATCACTATATTAACCCGACTCCGCCAGATGGATTTGCTCCGCATATCCATCTGGAAACCTTCGGCTGAAGTAATTTAGGGAAGGAGCGAAAATACTGGTTAGCTGATTGGCCTATGTTGGTGACAGACGGGCCAAATAAACCAATCAGATCAACGAAGCATATGACGTACTAACAGCCAGGCTACTCTTGCCGAAACCAGTTGGGAGAAGAGCAAAAACATATTTTCCTCTGAGAAAGGCCTCCAGAGCAGTGTTTTGCTCTTCTTTCAGTGAAGAAATGCTGTGTAATTCCGATAAAACTTGCTCGATAGCAACGCTAACGCTAGTTTCATCGGCTGAAGCCGCCATGTTCTTTAGACTGAACTGTCGCGTTTCTCGTTGCGTCACACCTCAACCCGCCTCAAAGCCAACGCTGATTGGACGTTCGTTTGGTATACTGCTCAAAATTTTCTTAAACGGAGAGTCTCCAGAGTGATCTGCGAGTGAAACCTTGAAAGCTCGCGAGATCAGGATGGTCTCACGAGGCTATCACTATATGGTCCATTTACCGATTTAATGCGTAATAAAAAAAAAAAGATACTTATACTTAAAGATACTTATACTTATTAATACTATTATTATTATTATTAATTTCTTTCCCTACCTCAGCCAGTTTATTAACAACAGTCTTTCCAAGAAAGTTCATTATAAAGACTGCTCTCCGCATTACTGTCCGCCATGGTTGTAGTTTTTCTTCCCTCTGCTGTGTAGCAAGATGCAGGATAGGGACTTTTGTTGAGTATTAATGGCGTACAGGTCAGATGAATACGACCTGGCCGTTCAGACACAGGTCGCATTTGAAAAGATCAGATACATTTTGCATTCCCAACCACAGCCAGTAGGGGAAGATGAGAGACCTCTCAATCGCTGCATAAACGTGTAGATTACAATAACAGGGACTTAGAAGAGGATTTATTGAGGTAAAAATGTTACGGTTAACTGCTTCCAAAATTATAAAAAATATACTTTGCTTTTATTTAATAGTCTCACAACACAACAACAAAAAAACTCTGAGTTCTGAATACTTTTGTAAGTCACAGTAAGTATCTCAGAAAGAGACAGTGATTCTCCAAAAATCCAGTTATAACGTTAATGTTTGTGTTGCAGGATGCTGTTTTTGACGAGAACCACGAGAAAGCCTTTTATGGCTCCGACTCCGAGGAGAAACCAGACCAGAAAGAAGCAAAGCCTTACATCATGGATCCAGACCACAGGCTTCTGCTGAGGAACACCAAACCTCTCCTGCAGAGCAGGAACACTGCTGTGAGTTAAAACATTCCTCTACCGCCCACATGTCCAGCTCCTTTTAGAGAGTTATCTAACAGATTCACCTATAGAATATGTCATGCACGTGTTTGTGTTGAAATAATCAGTGATTTTCCTTTTTTCATTTCCTTTAAGCCCCTGTCACACCATGACGTTTTAGCCAGCGTATGTCTGACGTTCTAGAATCTCCTAAAACCCTGGCATACGCTGAACTTTCTATGCTTTTTTTCAATTTTGGGTATATGCATGGAGTATTCATAACGAGTCCAGAACTTATGTCCAACGACAGCCTAACTTGTGCATAACGCACGGCAGCTTAATGCCCATGAAATGTCACAAGCCAGTGTCCTGATGGGGGCAGCAATGCGCCCCGAGTCGCCTGGCCTTCATAAAAAGATTTGATTGCGGTGTTAACCTAGCTGCTGTTGACCGCTCGCCATCAAAAAGATAGAAAGAAAGAACGATTGCAGTCGCAGCAGATTCAGCATCATGTCTGCTAGGGGTGTAAATCACATCCATCATGGCGATTCGATTCAGTATCGATTTCCTGACCCAACGATTCGATAATTTTCGATACTGAAGAATACACCATGATACGATTCGATTAATTGGTTCATTTTTTTTCTTACAGGCTAGACAATGTTTCAAATTTGAAATAAATCAATTAAAGCTGTAATATCGTTATGTATTATTTTTTTTTTTTTTTAGAAACAACAGCAAATAACAGAAGTAGCAAATTTGCATCAAAAAATACTGCACAAAATCAGTGCAATGAATGCAATTCAATACATCGCTTCAGATGTCCCTGCCCCCTCCACAGAAGCTCCGCTGCGCCTCTCCCAGATTGTAGCTCACCGCAAACAGTGCCACAGACAGGAGGCTGGCTTGTTTTGTTTTTATGACCGAAATTGTGGAAAACAACTCGTGAAGTTTGACCCGCTAGAAGAGCGAGGTGCGCGAGAACGCTGGGACCCTTTTTCCACCTGGATCTCCGCTCTTTTTGGCCCTCATGTCCCTCCGTCGTCGGACTAAACTCGCCCCCACTTCCTCATCGCCTCGGCCGTTTCTATACCCACAGCGTGTAGCTCAGACCACGCTTCAATATTGAGCATCAATCAAAATGTCTGTGTCAAGCTTACTGCGACACACTGCTGTAAGTGTATAACCAGGAAGCGAGGTAGGAGGGCAAAATAGGTTTAGCGCCACTGCAGCACGGGAGGGAGAATTACGCCCAGGAGCAAATGGATGAAAATAGACCGGAGGAAAAACACAAAAACATGAATCGATACTTTTGCGGACGTATCGATGCATCGGATCGTCGGCTTTTGGATTGATGCATCGATACAAAACGATTAATATTTACACCCCTAATGTCTGCTAGGATGTTTGTTGGCTGTGTGCGTGATCGCAGGGAGGATCCATCACACTCACCTTCTCACTCACCCTATGATAGGGATGAAGAGTACTGACGGTTTCCTTCTATGAACCCCCTTTTATACCAAAACGCTGCCAATACACCACTAAACAGTAGCTATAAGATAAAAACACGTTCAGCGGTCGTCTGGAACACGTCAAATACGTTGGTATAAGTTGGAGATAAGTTCTTGATAGGCTTAGCAGTTATGCACTAGTTATTCATAGGTTTTGCATTAGCCAAACACCACAACTTATGAGTAACTTACACTTAACGTATATCAACGATCAGATAACTGACCTATAACTTATGGCTCACGTTGCTGTCATACGTCTCAATGAACTTGCCGTATATCGATTAGTTTGAGCGTACTTCAGCTTGCTCATAATTTATACAAAACTGACCAATAACCTATCCAATGTATGCCAACGTTTTGCCAAATTTTTGGTACGTCAGGCATACGCTGGCTAAAACGTCAAGGTGTGACAGGGGCTTTACATCATGAAATTAACAAAGGTCCAGAACCAGTTTAGAAAAAATAAACAAACGAAACAAAATTCAGCTTTGATTTTATGAACTACAATTATCCTAAGAGGAATTAAAAAAAAAACGATGTATTTTGCTTACGTTTATTAAAAAGTAAAAGATCTGTATTTATCAAATGGATCCAACATTTTTTATGATAATATCTTGTTTTTGATTTTCGATTGGAACAGACACCTTCCATTTATATATTCCTTGTATATCTCTTAGTTGCTGCTGCAGGGAACCTTTAAACTAAAAAAAGAAAACTGATTACACATTTCCATCAACCAGGAGTCTCAAGGTCTCTGTCTCAGTGTAGCAGCGGGAGGAAAAATGCTCCCAAATGAAAGTGTTGATTAAAATGTGACATGCTGTGTCTTTCCTCGTGACAGCACAGTGACATCCTCCATCTTCATAGATTCCTCATGCTCTCCGTCCTGCCTCCCTGCGATGGACACGCGTCCTCCCACCATTTAAAGCTCCCCTGAAAAATTACCTTCTACCAAATGTAGAGCTGGACAAAATTATTGTTTTTTTTTCTTTGAAGTGATTATAGATGTGTGCTGTTAAGGGAAAAAATCCTTTTAAAAATCAAAATTTCTTTGAGGATTTACTTTGTATTCAGGTTGTGATGGGTGTTGCTCAGCTTTACTGGCATCTAGCTCCTAAACATGAAGTGAGCATCGTCACCAAGTCACTCGTTCGACTGCTAAGAAGCCACAGGTAATCAAGATAAAAACTCTAAACGTAAAGCTCTCTGCAGCGCCCCCTGTGATCACGCTTAAAGGCTGTTTTTCTTATTTTTATACAGAGAGGTGCAGTACGTGGTGCTCCAGAACATCGCCACCATGTCCATTCAGAGGAAGGTGAGACTTGATCATGAAACAGAACCTCTCTTTGTTTCCAATCATTCCATTCTCCAGTATCCATGTTTTTTATCGCTTGTTTCCAAACAGGGGATGTTTGAGCCATACATGAAGAGTTTCTATGTCAGGTCCACAGATGCCACACACATAAAAACACTGAAGGTAACGGACTCCTGCATTATCACAAACTACCTGATCTCACTAAATAGTGAGCATGAATTCATGGAGTACATGTACATTTACACTACCCTTGAAAAACCGATCCATGCCGAGACCGGCTGACTGCAGACCAGTTCCAGAGCTGGGCTCAGCTTGGTTTTTCCCTGGCTCGGTTCTCTGATAACAAGAGCGCATGAGCAGAACGCGTCATTTCCGTCTGGCTGCACATCCCGATTCACACTCTATTCCAGTAGTTGGCGGTAATGCCCCTCCGGAAGTTGCTTGCCAACCAACACAAAACAGAAGAAGAAGAACACTATAAACAACTATAAACATCCACGAAAGGTTGCTGTCTTCGCCTGACCCTCCGCAAACACCGAAGTACATTAATAATAATCATTCCCTCTTTCTTTTCTCTTTCTTCTTCGTCTTTTTCTTCTTGTGTTTTATGGCGGTAGGCAAACAACTTTTGGTGCATTACCGCCACCAACTGCTTTATTTCCTCCTTCAATACTTGCAGTAATGCCGCAGATCGTAACTAGGAGTCGAGGAACCAAGATATCGTGATGTGTAAACGGTCGTCAGAACCCAGTTCGGCCTGGTTAATTTATCCGAGCTAGGTTCTGACGACCGTTTACACATCACGCTATCTCGGTTCCTCGCCTCCTAGTGATGATCTGCGGTATTACTGCCAGTATTGAAGGAGGAAATAAAGTAGTTGGTGGCGGTAATGCACCAAAAGTTGTTTGCCTACCGCCATAAAACACAAGAACAAGAAGACGAAGAAGAAGAAAGAGAAAAGAAAGAGGGAATGATTATTATTAATGTACTTCGGTGTTTGCGGAGGGTCAGGCGAAGATGGCAACCTTTCGTGGATGTTTATAGTTGTTGTTCTTCTTCTTCTGTTTTGTGTTGGTTGGCAAGCAACTTCCGGAGGGGCATTACCGCCAACTACTGGAATGGAGCGTGAATCGGGATGTGCAGCCAGATGGAGATGACGCGTTCTGCTCATGCGCTCGTTATCAGAGAACCGAGCCAGGGAAAAACCGAGCCGAGCCCAGCTCTGGAACTGGTCTGCAGTCAGCTCGGTTCGGTTGTGTCTAGCTCGGTTCAGTTCAGTTTGCTTTCTATTTACACACGATAAGTTACCTCAGTTACTGAGCTCGGACCGGTCTCTGCACGGTTTTTCAAGGGTAGTGTAAATAGGGTATATGTGTGTTGCTTGGTAACCTTTAGACTTAGACAACATTTGTTGTTTAGTTTTTTTACACAGAGCTCTCATCACATTTCCATTTTCTTAAAGTGCAGCAGTGATCAAATGTAAACATGGTGCAAAAAAAACGCATTGACATGGTCAGGTTGATGCAGTCTGTGGCATGATTTAGAGTTTTTTTTCAACATTCAGCTTTCTGATGGGGGTGGGCGAGAAGTTTAGATATTTAGTAAAGTAAAATGATCAGGTTGGCAAAGTAAAATGTGTTCCTATACATCACAAGTGAGAATCGATGTTATTCATTGTTTGGATTTAGAATACCTTTATATTTTTACCTGCACAGTTTCTAGTAAATGAAAACCAATATTTCAAATGCATATAAGCAGGATTCTTTGAAAAACTATTATAAATGTTTTGCTTTTTTAAATCACCCGGCTTATTTATTAAAGACCCATTGCCACCCACATGTTTTCTTTCTTGTTTTCCAAAGCTGTAGCTATTCTTTTATTTGTGCAATTATTAATTTAATGCACCAATCTGTAGAAATGCCCACAATGTTTATCTGTTTACAATGGCTGGGATGCAAATAAAGTTTTGTATTAAAATCCTATTTTTTTTATATTTTTTATTCTGTGTTCTAATAAATGTGCTTGATGGCAACATTTCTGTTTTTGATTTTACAGCTGGAAATCCTGACTAATCTCGCCAATGAAGCCAACATTTCCACCATTCTAAGGGAATTTCAGGTTTGTTTTTTTACTCATGATTATTGCTTAAAAGAAATACGATTTTCCTTCCTTGATTGTTCTTCTCATGGTTGGAATTGAACCTCAGACCTATGTGAAGAGCCAGGACAAGGCGTTTGCTGCCGCTACCATCCAGGCCATTGGCAGATGTGCCACCAACATCTCAGAGGTCACAGACACCTGCCTCAACGGTCTGGTGTTGCTGCTTTCCAACAGAGATGGTAATAAATGTGAGATAAATGCGAATATACGGTGCTGCATGTGTTCTTACTGCTTGGCCTGTTTCTACAGAGACAGTCGTGGCTGAGAGTGTGGTGGTCATCAAGAAGTTGCTGCAGACTCAGCCCACCCAGCACGGTGACATCATCAAGCACATGGCCAAGCTCTTTGATAACATCACTGTATGGGTTATCCTTTTTCACTATGGCCCTGAATTAGAAACACTTTAGTTGATTTTTCCTCTCTATTTTTGCAGGTTCCCATGGCTCGAGCCAGCATCCTGTGGTTGATGGGGGAATACTGCGAGAGGGTGCCGAAGATCGCACCGGATGTGCTCCGAAAGATGGCAAAGACTTTCACTTCAGAAGAGGATATTGTAAAGCTGCAGACCGTCAACCTGGCAGCGAAGCTTTACCTGACAAACTCTAAGCAGGTGCAGAAGGGTTTCATGCTAAGTTCAGATCATGGTTCATATGTTTTGATTAAAGACTCTTGATTAAACAGATACTGTATTTTACAACAGTTCCATCGGCGCAATACAGGGATTCCCCCCAAACCAAATCCTACCATAATATTGTAACCATAAATCTGTCAGATCACAAATATATTTCTCTCCACATGAAGAGCTGCTTGTCTCCCCTAGCTCAGTCTTCTGTACAGAATACCAGGCTGTCTTGGTGTCCCGGGTGGGGATGGTGGTTGGGAATATCCCATGACCAAATTTTTATAATGGGAAAACAAAAAAAGGAAATAGCCTAGTACTATTTTATGAATTATTTATACAGACCAAGGAATAAAACTTAGATTTAGGGCCCTGTCACACCTTGCCAATTTAGACAGCGTATGCCCGACATCCCAGAATCTCCTAAAATGCTGGCAGCATGCTCAACGTATAAAAAAACATATTCGCAACTTATCCAAAGTATGCCGGCGTTTTTGCCAGACTTTCCGTACGTCAGGCATACGCCATCTAAATCGTCGAGGTGCGACAGGCGCTTTAAGAGCTGATGGTGTTGAAAAATCCAACGATTTCAGGCAGCAGTTTATTTTTGGACGCATCTCTACAGAAACATTGACGTTTTAAGGGTCTGTGTTAATGAACCTGTACCTTCAAACTTACTTTTTTCACAAAATAAAACCTAAAGAAATATCAGGTTCCCAGCGGTAATCAAGAGTTACCAGTAGGGGGCAGAGATTGAAAATGAAGGTCATTTGTTAGACAGAATAAAGAATTGGTGGTGGTATCCCATTTCCTCCATTTCGTCACATCCATCACATTAAATGATAGTATTTAGCAAAAAAAAAAATAAAAAATTGTGATTTTTTTATTTTTTTTTTCTATTGGCAGCAGGTCTTCACTTACTTTGCAAGCAAAATGAATGTCGCGTGATTTGTGAATTCTCAAACTCCCGAAAACACATCTTGCCAGGAGCCAGCAGATATGTTAGCCTTGAAAAGTTTTGGACCAATGAAATGCAGTGATGTGTGTGATGTCACCACGTCAACCAGAGGCGGAAGGCTAAGGCAAAACAAACATGGCTGCCCAAGTTTTGGCTGGAATACCCTCATAATCAGTTAACTCCACCGGTTGTTAAGCAAATCAACCTGCTACTGCTGCTGTGATTGGCTAAAACTTTGACGTAGGAGGCAGGTACCCAATCAGCTCGAACAATTGCCCTGACTGTCCCTCTGTTTTGCAAACACTTTCTACATGAGTCTTCCCAGATCAATACATGAAGTTCAATTTAAATCTTATGCAGCATCAATCTGGCTTATGCCAGGTCAGGTCCTCACCAGTATGGGGAATTGCTGGACCCTTTTACCCTTAATAGTGGTAAAATAAACTCATTTTTTTATTAAATGTTTAGTAATAAAGCTGGGGCTCAATAAAAATCCTCCATCTTGGTAAATCCAGTTGGACTAGCCCTACCTCTCCTTTAATTCCCAGACCAAGCTGTTGACCCAGTACATTCTGAACCTCGGCAAATATGACCAGAACTACGACATCAGAGACCGAACACGTTTCATCAGGCAGCTGATTGTGCCCAACGAGAAGAGCGGCGCCCTCAACAAGTACGCCCGGCGCATATTACTGGCCTCCAAGCCTGCTCCCGTCCTTGAATCTGCTTTCAAAGGTACTTAATGTGTTTGTTTTAACCTCTAAGGCTTATTTTTGAAAGGTATTAGGTCCTATAAACAAGTTTTATTGTCAGTATTAAATCCATTACCTTCTCGTGTCTGTTGCTTGAATCAGAAGAGAATCTCTGAATACGAATTAGGGAAAAATTTACTTCAAATTGAGTGGCTCTATTTCCAGTGGATTCAGGCTGTGCTCTTATTATTCTGGTGTGTGTGTGTCTCTTTGAAGGGCAGTTAGGTCAGACCCCTTTTACCTTGGACTAATGAGATGGGTAAATTATTGAGCCGCTAACCTTTTTATTCAGACACTGAGAGGTGCAAAAAAAAAAAAAAGAAAATCCCCTAATTTTCTCTCTTCCTCCTTGACAAAAGGGTCGAAACAGCCTCCTGTAACATTAGAATTCACAGGCAGTTTGCACCCACTGGATGTTTATGGATGGCCTTATCCACTGCTGTCATTCTTAATAATCACATGCAAAGTTTTATTTTTCTCTCTCTCCATCTTTCGGAAAGCAGAGCACATTTTTTTGATTTTTTTCAGCATCCTCCAAAGACAAAAGCACTAATTATCCAGTTGATCACAGAGGGAAAATATGGATGATTGTCTGTCATGCTTAGAACTTCCTATTTGAATCACCTTCTTTGTGTCATATTTCTTTAATTTCCATTTACATTGATTTATCATTTTTAATCTCCCTTCAGATAGAGACCGTTACCAACTGGGAACCCTCTCCCATAGTCTTAACATTAAAGCTTCTGGGTACCAGGAACTGTCAGACTGGCCGGCTGTTGCACCGGATCCGACTGTGAGGAACGTGGAGGTGATTGAGCCGGTAAAGATGACCTTATCTGAAGCATTTACGTATAATGATATCTGACATATAGGGTTAATCCAAGTCTAAATACAAATTTGTAACATCAGCACTGATGTCATATTAGTTTTATGCTTTTTTCTATGTTGAATGATTATTTGGTACCTTACACAATATCAGAGACTTATCTGGGGACATTACAGGGGTTGACGTTAAGGGCAAGTGACTTTCACATTTCATTTGCCCAGAAACAATTTTTACTTGCCCAGTATAATGTTTGATAAATATAGTTCCTAATATTCATTTTTGTATATATATCAATGAAGCATGTTTGTTTTTTAAATGTTTTTTGTAATTCAGTTTTTTTTAAGTTTACAGGTTCCTGGTGTGTATATGCATGCGTCAGATAATGAACTCAAGCCTACATTACCGTGTTAACATGCTTTTCAATCCTTCCTGCACATTCTTTTCAAACTAAACTTTGCTTTAGTGAATGGATGTGGATGGGTGGTGGGTAAAGAGGGTCTCTGATGCTTAGTGGGTGGTGGGTGAAATAGGTGGTGTGTGTGTTACTGTACTTAGATTTTTTTTTGCGTTGTTGTTGTTTTTTAGCCTGCCAAGTCGAAAAAAATGGGTCTTATTCGCGCCAATTCCCGGACAAAAATCTGGCGGAAAATCACGGAGCTTTTTCTAATCACGCGCCTTTTTTAAATCACGCAATAATGTGTACAAAACAACAGAAATGGTGCCGACAATGCTTTTGGGTTGTTTTCTTCCAATGTAGGTGATTTTTGAGTGATTATGTAAATAAAATGATACAGAAACACAGGTACAATAGCGATTTCTAGCTTGTTTGTCATTTTGGTAACTACATCAAAATTAAAGCTAGGTGGACAAAAATCACGCCATCTGGCGGAAAATCACCCGGCTTTTTCAAATCACGCGCCTTTTTCAAATCACGCGAGAATGTGTACAAAACAACAAAAATGGCGCCGGCAACGCTTCTGGGTTGTTTTCATCGAATTTCGGTGATTTTAAAGTAATTTTGAGTGATAAATAATTGTTTTTTGCGATCATTGCACTTTCCCGGCGAGCAAATGCAATGAAATTTAAACTCTCCCAAAAATAAAAACTACTTGCCCCGGGAGATCGGGCGATGGTTAACATCGAGCCCTGCATTAAAATAAAGAACGTTCTCATACTGGGATGTACTTTTGTGAACACAAGTTGCCTGTTGTCTACAATAAATCCTTTCCAGTCCATGAAGATATAAAGGAAAATTTCCACTCTATTCTTTGGTATTATGTGTCAACTACAATTTTGGAATAAAACAGGAAAATGATTGGGGTTGCTCAATATTTTATGCAGTTTATCACCAACAATGATCTGATAATTTCTCAACTTCTCCCTTATTCCACTTTCTGTTCTTCTTAAAACCCTAACAATGGGATTTCCAACAAAGTTAAAAAAGTTAAAAACAAACCATTGGACTTTGTTTCCCAAGTTTTAAGACAATCCAGGAAGCTTTTTCAATTCAAAATGTCTTGAGTAGCACTGAATTCCAGGCTTATAGAGTGGCCCAAACAAAAGTCTTGTTATGGCTTAGAAAACAAGCAAATTGAACCGAAAGAACAGGTCCACCCCTTAGTAATGGGTCATCGTTGAGGTCGTTCTTTGTCTGCAAGACCCAATACTGGACCATGCCTCTGAAAAGGGAGTCGTTAGGGTCGTTGTTGGCCTGGCTGACCAGGCGAGATGTTTTAGGCCCCGTCCACACGAAGCCAAACCCTGGCCTAAACGCACAAATTTTTCACCAAACCAGCCTCTCATCCACACGAAGCCGGCGTTTCGGGGGTCTGTAAACGATCTTTTTTTTATTCAGCCTTCAGAGTGGGAAGATTTTGAAACGCCGTTTTCGCGTTTCCATCTTTAAGCTCTAACCGCATTTTCTTTTTTTACATGCATGCGTCATAGCGTCGCCTCTAAACACGCATGCGCGACCAGTATCACAACAACAATGGCGCCGTACTGTGTTGAATGGTTGCTGCTCATGCTACTCACCCTGCTGTCGGGCTTACAACAGAATCTTCTTCTTCTGGAATATCTCCAGGAAGAACAGAGCAATATCGACGACATAGTTCAGCACCTGAATTTGACTGAACCACGAAAATGGACCCGCAGGGCAACCGTGTATAAATATTAGTGCGCATGCCCAACATTTCGTCGCCTATTTTTGCTTTGGCACGACAGCACCACTTACAGGCCTTGCATACATTTTGCAGCGTTTTCATGTATTCATGTGGACGATCACATTTATTTTACGTCTCCGTCTTTACGACAAACGTTCTGGAAAAAATTAGCGTTTCGTGTTCGTTTTGACTTCGTGTGGACGGGGCCTTAGTCCCCAGCATGGCAGTAGAGGTTTGAGATGATAGCGGGAAGGAATCAACTCTATTGCTGCGTTGTACGTTTTTAAGGGTGGAAACTTGAGTCCACCCCCTCTGTTTAAGTTTGGTTTTTCTTAAACATAAATGGCTTCCTTCACACCCCTTTCAAACCACCTGTCTTCTTTGTCCAAAACGTGAACATTCTGCTTCTCAAAAGAATACCTTAAGGTGTAGGTGGACAGCCAAATCTTGTCCGTAGGAGGTAATAGTTGCTTTCTCCTCCTCCATTTTGAATTGAAAAAGCTTCCTGGTGGGAAGCGAAACATCTTCAAACTTGGAAAACAAAGTACAGTGGTTTGTTTTTAACTTTTTTAACTTTGCTGCAATGACTATGACCTGGATGACAGAGAATCTTCACCAGCACCTAAAAATGGGAATTAGTCAGCCTGTTTAAGAAATATATTTAAGATAACAGAAAAAACAGAAGGTAAAAAAACTTTAAGTTTTTTCCCAACTAGTTATTTCTGCTAGTAATATAATTCCTGTGGTTCCAATAGGATGAAGTTTTTTTAAGCTGGTCAAGATTCTCAGTCATCCAGGTCATAGTTATTCCAACAAAAAATAAAAACCAAACCACTGGACTGGAGTTTGAAGATGTTTGGCTTCCTATCCTATAAGCCTTTTCAATTCAAAATGTCTGGAGTAGCTTTGAGTTCCAGGCTTTATAGAGTGGCCCAACGAAAGCATTGTTATGGCTTAGAAAATAAGCAAATTGAACCAAAAAACAGGTCCAACCCTTAGAAATGAGGAGTTGTTGATGAGTTGAAAAAAAATCTGATACAAAAAAGTCAGTTTCATTGGTTAGCGTGTACTCCTCCAAATTGTGCCCACACTCAAACTGATTGATTTTGGTTAATGATGATTCGTAGTGGAGACTGTTCTAACACAGCTTCCCTTTACTCGATGCATAATTGAGGCTTTTAACAAAAAAATCTCCTAAATGTTGGGATTGTTAGTTATTTTTTTTTTTTATCCCTCTAAGTATTTGTTGTTTCTGTTTAGGTACAAGAGAGGGCTGTATCTCTTGGGAAGGTCAAGAAACCCAAACCTGATAAGTTCTATTCGGACGAGGAAGAGAAAGAGGAAGGATCTGCCAGTGGAAGTGAAGACAGCAGCAATAGCAGCAGCAGCAGCAGCGGCAGTAGTAGTGAAGGTATTTTCTTTTGAAGTTTAAATATTGGAGTACTTTTAGAAGATAGATTTTAAATAGTCTGTTCTGAGATTTGCAATAAAGCCATTTTGTATTGCCTTCATTGCACTTGATATTCTCAAACATGGGAGTCACAGCAGTAAAAGAAAAGGTCAGCTGATTTTCGATGAGTAAGCTACAAGTAATCAAGCAAACTGGTCTAAACTGGAATTGAATTGGATTAAAATACATTTTAAATTCATCCTAACCCATGTTAATTCTGTATAGAGTCGGGCAGTGAGAGTGAAGAGGAGAGCAGCGAAGGATCTGAGAAAACCTCCACTGATTCTGGAAAGAGCTCCAGTGGATCTGAAGCGAGCTCCAGCGAGTCTGAATCCAAACAGAAGAAGAAAAAGCTAACTAAGAAGGCGGCCCCGAGGAAAAGCAAGCAACCAGCTGCAGACAGGTGCGGTGTTCCTGTCAACACGGCTGTTTATTGGATCCTGAATCATTTTTCAAAAAAAGATTGTAAGCTTTACCTGGTTAAGTAGCTTATAATATAGTCTTATTATCACAAAGACTTTAAACAATGGTATGATGCATGAAGGCTACTGTTTGTGTTAGGAGAGAATAGGCTCCTTCATTAAGCCAGCTGAATGGCAGTCCTCAGCAAGATGAGGGCCAGTCCACCAGAATTAAACTTAAAATAATTTTTGGTTTGTAACGAGTGTAAAATTATCTGGTTATCGTTGCATTGCAGATTTTATCTTACAGTCCCTAGTTGTTAAATGCAGTAAAATATCGATTTAGCTCACCTACAAACCAGAGTTCTACTAATTTCTAGGTCAAAGAAAGAGATAAGAAAGCATATGTGGCAGCAGAATCCATGGCAATCAAAATTAAAACTAAAGATTAAAAGAGGCATGAAAAATAAAGGTTTGCATATCTTGCTTTGTTTCATAATTAGTCTTATATTTTATGCTGCTTTGAAATTAAACAGCTTGAGAAATTGCCCTTAAAATAACTCTGACCCCAATGCAAATGAGATGTATTATAGAAAATATGAAAAATATCAACTTTTTGGAGTAAATAATTACAAAGCCTTTACCACACTTTAATAACCAATGAGCGTTGACCTGCAATGACTCATGGGAAATAGAGGCTTAGGTAGGATACTCCTGATCCTGCGATGCAGCCTGCTGGAACATTTTATCCAGTGGGGAGTATCCTGTGTGCTTCTCTATTTCCCATGAATCATTGCACGTCAACGCTCATTAGTCAGCTCGGACAGAAATCGGGGGCAATGTTGGCAAAAATTGTGTTAGGGTTGTTAAGTTTCCCCAACTTTAACCTATAAAAAAATTAAACAAAGACAGTGTAAGATTTTTCCTGTAATGCTTTGCAAAGGGAAGATAGACAGAGCTTTAGGATCACCCTGTGCATCTTCGCTTGGCTCGACACTTCCAGGCCTTTTTATTGAGCAGTCAACACATTACAACAGCAGGCGTTAGTTTCGATTATGCAATCTCTTAGACATAGCATGAACTTTTAAGATAGGGAACTTGTCTGTTTCAGTATATGCTTTTAAAAAAGGTGTCGGGGGTTATGAACTTTTAACTTCTGTGTTTCTCAAATGAAAAACAGGAAAGCATTTTTGCAAAACATTTGACCGTCTTATGACCTACATACAGTATTTCCACCGATGAGAGTAACATAGGAAAAACATTGAGATTGAGAGCAATATAAAACATATAAATGAATAAAATGATAAAAACAACAGAAATCATAATAACTCCAGCAAATTGTAGTTAAAAAAATCGGTGTATTTTGCTTTATAAGACTCAAGATAATTATTGAAGGTGTTTTTATACTAGAATATTGCTTTGTTGAACTCAAATATCTGCCTAGTTGGTAACAGTTACTCTATTTTTTTTTTTAAAAGGAGCTCCAAATGTTCAGATACCTGAGAACTGACAACTTTTTTTCTTAGAAGTGAGGATGTTCTGAAATGTAAAATCTAATGTGATTAAGCATAGAAACAATCCAGGTATTTGAGTTATTCTGAAGCAAACTCGATGCAAGTAACAAAAATACTAAAAAAAGTCTAAATCCGTGTGAATTTAAATTCTTATTTCTGAGCAAATGACTTCCCGCATTAACCTCTCTCTTGTCTTCTACATGCAAACACGCCCTCCCTTCCTTTCTTAGGTTGGCCGGTCTGCAGTAGTATCGCTGGTTCCATTAACAAGCTAATCAAGGAGAATTTTCCTCCAGTAGCGTAACCCCACATTTACATGGCTAATGGATAATGACTTTTGATTGGTCATTTAGCAGCCTGGTGTTACCAATAAATGAGATTTGAGTCATTACTGCTGAATATGCTCACGCACTCCCTCTTACACCCTGGCAAATTTAGTTTCTTATGCAGCGCACTTCATTTGCTCACGGACACACAAACTTACCCGACGTACCTGATTTTGCTGTGTGACAGGCCGCCGGCTGACCCTGTTCTCTCCATTAGACAGTATAATTAGAGCAACTCACCCCAGTGCTCAAACACACAAAAACACGCACACACACGCATACAGTCAGTAATTAGAGCAGCTCACCCCAGTGCTTCCACAACAAACACAGCATAATGCCCTCATTATGGCCCAGTCATTTCAGGCAGGGCCTAATCAGTCCCACAGTGATTTATATCACTTTTTTCCTGTTCGCAGCAAATGAAATCTGTAGGCCAAATTAATACTGGCTTTTCATCATCGCCCAAGTTAAAAAGCCAGTTACCGTCACAATTCCCCTCATTAATTTAACGGCTGAAAATCCCAGGCAGGCCGAGTAAACACTCATTATTGGAACAAATTGAAGAGGGACAGAGCAAGTGGAAGAGAGAGGAGAAAGATGGAAGAAATCTTTCTGGAGGGAAAGCAGCTTTGAATTAACTTAACAAACAAAAAGCAGATTGATCGTTTTGATCGGCTCCACTGAAAGCTCTGACGCTTTAAAGATTATTTTCTCCCAGTTTTAAGCTGAAGGCTGTTTAACTGATAAAATGTGTTGATATAACAGATGCGGTTTTGGTCAAACTTCTTTGAACGTATTTTTATTTCTCTGTGATTTAGTGACTCGGATGAAAATGGAAATGGACCTGTGGGCAAAACTAGCAGCTCATCTGCTGAAAGCTCCTCTGACTCGGAGTCTGAGTCTGAGGAGGACTCCGACTCTGACTCTCCGGCTCCACAGAAGAAGACTGTAGCAAAGAGTAAACCAAAGGTGATGTCACCCTGTAGCTTCATAGCAGTTTAAGGACAGATGGGGTAACTGGGAATCAGAGGTACAGACTTGTAGAGCAAACATGAGGTGGGTCACAGAGCTTATCCAAGTTTAAAAGAGTGTTTTCACACCAAAGGTGTTCAGTTCACTGAAAGGTGATAGCCAGAAGTGGGTTCTATTAATTGGAGTAACTATTTAACAAACATCTACGTATATCAGTAGTTTTACCACATCATATGTCATCATATATCTACCACTGCTCTTCCTTTAGTAAAACTGTTTGACTACTGCTTAGAATTTAACCTGAATGAATAATTAACAAGCTTCTTTTAAGAAATAGTTCTCCAGACAGCAACACACAGTTAATGTTTATGTCAAAAATTTAGATCTCCTTTTTTTATTTTTACTAATTCACACTTTTTTATATATGTAGAGGTCAAGCTAATATACTGTAAGGAGTAATTATCAGTTAAGCGACTGGTTTCATGTTTTCATGACTTAGAAAAGTGTTTCTCGTGTCTGGATTCCTAATTTTTAAGTTAGAATATTAGTTTGCTGTAGTTATCTTATTTTTGCTCATTTCTCAGTTGACAAGAACGCAAGTTCGGACATGTGTATGTTCTTGACAAGAACACAGGACAGTATGGACTTGGGGAGAACGAGAGTATGCAGCATAAATATGGGGCAATTGGAACAGAATCGTACTCGTGACGTTGCCTCGCGCTCAGCTCGTCTGGAGCTGCATTTCACATCCTGCTATTGGTAGTCTCTAGACGATAAGAAATTATGGCTTTGCTTCGTTAAGTGAGGAAATTTGTCCTTTCCTGGTCTTGAGTTCTTGTGAATTGGAATGGTACTAGGGCTGAGGCTGACAACGTTTTATAAGCACATGAGAAAGCACAAGTACACATACTGAGAAACGGCTTTAAGAATAGTAAAATGTGCTCATTACTTCACACATTTTGGTGTTTTACTACATAATTTTAAACAGTAAAGCAAGTGCTATGAGGAGCCTTTCTGACATATACTTTTTTTTCTTTTTTACTCTTTAGTAATTTCTTGGATGGTTACTTTCTATTATTTCTTAAGTCTAATATGATGAAGTATTGCTACTAAAAAAAACTTAAGTACAGTTTTTAGGTAGTCTACCCACCGCTGGAGACAGCTACAGGTTTAACACCCACCAGCTTGTAGGAGGCGGGCTCGCATGATCTTATTCCATTCCAATATTGTATCATATCCCTGGTTTTGCTCATGCTAACGTTAAAGTACAAAGTAAGCAGCGACTTCCTTTGCCTCCTTAAGCCAGCACTATTGCTCAAAATTCTTCTTCTTTGGTCTGCTTGTTGCAGCTGAAGTGGAGGTAGATGGAGTTGTTGCCTGTTACATATTTTTTTTTGGTCTACAGACAGTGCTCAACAGTCCCACTTAATAGAGCTTAAAAATCTAACATCTGTTTTTCCTATCAAATGTTTAATCTATTTATTATTTCATAATAAAAAAATGACAGAGAGACTAATTTTGAAATTAAGCTTTTGTTTAGCTTAAATTAAAAGCGCAGCAAAATGTATCTGTAAAACAAGATGGTAAAAAGATCATGTTTCGATAGAAACAATGAAAATATAACATAATTGTAGCTCATGGTAAAGCCCACTTATTTTCTAATTTATTTTTTCCCATCATTGTGTCAAGCAAAGACCATGTTTTTATAAAAGGAAACTTAAAAAAACATTTTAATCAAAAAGTTGAAAAACTTATATGTCCATTTAAAGAAAATTCAATTTATCAATAAATTAATCCCCCAGAAGTTTTGCTTATTGCTCCTTTATGTTAATGGGCGACTTTAAAATGTGCCTGAGAGAAAATAATCTTAGTTGTGATTCATATTATAGGAGTTTCTCCAATCAGTTGTTGTCGTCACTGATGGCTGTAGCCAGGAAGAAACTCTTGTAGCCGTTTACCTAAAGCTGCTCAGCGGTTTTTGCTTTATCTACAGCTTTAAAAAAGAAGAGCTAATTATATTTTAAGAAAATCCAAACATATATTAGAGAATTTAAGTTTGTTTTTATGACTGTGTCCAATTTAGTGAGTTATTTCAGGCTGTTGATGAGAATCTGTAGTGAAGCATGGACTCTCATGTTGTAATCTTCATCTTTATGTTCTAAGATAGACCCCGGCTGATGGGATGTAATGGGGTTGAAATGGCAAACGGGAGAAAAGCCCTCTTCTTTTCAGCTCCCGCTGAGTATTAACACCAGATTGTCCCAGCTGTGTGTGCTGAAAGCTTCCAAATACTGATTTACTCTCTGAGATATAATTTGCCTTCATGGCATATCCTTTCATTTATTTATTTCTCTTTATTCCCTTTTGCAGCTCTCACAATCTTTTTCTCACCCGTTATGCTCATCACATTATCTTTCTCTCACCGTTTGCAGCTATGAAATTCCCATTCCATTCACTTTGTCGTTTGGTTATGGCCTATGAATTATGCATCTTTCCCTCAGCCATTTTTTATTCCTGCATAGCTCTTTCAGGCGACTCTCCAGTAACACGGTTCCCATCTCTGTTACCCCCAGCAAGCTTCGATCAGAGAAAATCTGATAAGATACGCCCTGGAACTTTATGCTTTGTTTGGTTTCTCGTTCGCTCCTTTGTCCCGTTTGTTTGTTTGCCTGGAGTAGGCAGAATGGGATTTTATGGTTCTTTATGCGCTGTGATAAACTCAGCTTTGTTAGGGGGGTATGAAGAAAGGGTGATAAAATACGCTCCTATGCTTAAATCTGATTTTATTGCGAATCTTTTTTTCTTTTGCTTGTGAGTTTTTGTCGCCTCTGATACTGACACATAGGCTCTGTCGTGTGAGACTTTACTGATTCCAGAAAACAAGTTTCACTGAAATAGAAACTCATTGATTTTTGGAAGAATGCTCATCATCTTCACAGCCCAAACATTACAATTAAAGAAAGAAAATCTTAATCTCCCACAGTGCTGCAGTTTGACTTTTCGTTTCTTCTTCTCTTTTAAACTTATTGTGAATTTGCTGTGCTTGCTTTTTTTAGGTGGAGGCGAAATCCAAGAATGAAGTATCTTTACTGGATCTAGATGACTGTAAGTTTACCTGTCATTTTTAGTGCTACTTGTTCCCAATGGAATTTCCCATTGGGAACAAGTAGCACTAAGTTGCTAACATCTTCCAACAATGCTTCCGACAAACCGGCCACAATCTTAACTTGTTTACCAACTTTCCACCACAACAATCCCACCCCCTTTAAAAAGACCAATCAAATTAAACTTTATTCACTCGTGTAAAGTCGTGCACCACTAGGGAGAATTCGGGAAAAACAGTTGGAACGGCCGTTTCCCTCTGACTTTAAACTTGTGTATTAGAGCAATGCACAAACCAGCTGATAAAACTATCGGTAGACTGATATATTAGTCAGTCGATAGTTTTGGGTCATTGCCGTTTATTCCTTGTAATGCATGCATTGCTGCTCCCTCCATTTGTTATTCATTGTTAATATTTTATGGATAGGTTACATTGATATCATAATAACCTGTATCAACAACAGTTAATTGGTTAATCTCAATATAGAACCCATAAGAAAGCTTAGATAGATGCTTTCTGTCAGTGTCAGAAATGCTCAATGAAGGCCTGGTTGCTCCCCAACATAGTATTACCAACTAAATGTTGTTAAGGAAATATATCGGGGAAGTTAAAAAAATAATTTTATTTTAATAAAATTATTCAATTAATTGATCCTTAAGTAGAGGCTTACTGGTATTAGTAAAAGAAACAATGCCAGAGCGAAGCCATGTTACACTGTTTAATGGCAACCAGGATGCAGATTAGACTTTGTCATTCTGTTTGTATATATAAACAATACTTTATCACCTGATTAGCTCCCATTTAATATATATATATATATATATATCACTTTTAAAAGCCTCTTAGCAGTCGGGCTGTGCTGAAGCCTTTCTTATTGCCTGAATAAATAAATGATTTCTTATCTGTTTTGTTAGAGACAAACAGAGGAAACCAGATAGCCGCATGTGGCTTTGGAGTTTACAGACCTTAGATGGACTTATTTATGCATGACTGTTCATATAAAGAGCAGAACTCTCTCCTAGTTAAAAAGAGAGTGCTAGTTGGCTGAAGTTAGTGGGCGGGGCTAAGACTCTTCCCTTCGGAACTAAGTGGTACTTTCCTCCAGGGATTTGGTGAGCTCTACTCTTAACTTGTTAGCATCATTTCAGACCAAACTAGGCATGTAGAAGCTCATTGCTCACCCAGACTTCCTGGTAAATAAATTGCTCCAATTTCCTGCGTTTGCTGGAAAGATAATGGTGTGTAAAACAATGAGATGTCAGTATCTCTATAGGAGCTGCTCTAATTCTGCCCACTGACTGATGGCTGAAGCTGACAGTTCATATACTCCTATGATGCTGTTGCACGGAAACCATGAATAACTATGTTTATTAAAGTTAAAAGGTTAGATTTTATTAAATTAGGGGTTTAATGATTATTAAGTTTTGATTTTATTTTGTCCCTTTCACCCCACCATAGTTAGGGATGTCTAATGTTCATGCATGTTTACCTTTTTCAGCTTTTACATTTGAAATGTTTCTTATTCGTTTAATACACCCAACCAATGCATTTCCAGTCTAGTTGACTTCTTTTTCCTGACTTCCAGTTTCAGAATGTTTACTATTATTCTTAGTATTATTTCCTTTTTTGTTATTTAGTTTCTCCTGCACCCCCCAGTGCACCCAAGTCCTCGGTCTACTCCTCCAGCTTACTTTCCGACCTTGAAGGACTCTCCCTCTCCAAGGTCTCGTCCGCCATGCAGGTTAGTGCACGCTTCCATGAATTTATGTTTGACTGCTCTGGAGCCAGACTGAAAAGCCTTTCCTCCTGCATTGTGCACTGGGACATGATTGTTCCCTTCTTCCTGACACTGACAGGTACACCACGGCATCATATGCGATGGTGAAACCAGCCTCTCTCTCCCTAGTGGAACATTTCTGCTCCAGACGCCAACTATTGACCTTTTCTGCGTTGCTATATTTATAGCCAGTCGGATGGTGTAGCAGCTCCGCCCGTTTCCTGTATCTCTTATATTCTGCCTTTTTTTTTTTTTAACCCCCTCTCTGTCTTTTTGTTCTTTCACACCCTTGAACTCTATTTCTGCGTCTCATCTATAAGTCCAACAGCTCTGATTCTCTCTCCCCTACCTCTCTGTCACCCTCCATCTCTCTCTGTCAGATGTTGCGTCCCTTGTGTCTCCATGTTGTATATATCTGATGGTTGACCTTTCCTCGTGTGACGGCTCCTTTCTCTCCACAGTTTGCGAGCAGCCCTTCACATCTGTGTGTTTTGTATCTCGTTATCCCCTGGGAGGGGAATGTCCAAACCACTCTTTCGGCTGCTGCTGAGTCTATTTTCTACAACAAATGTCAGATTGTTATTGTGATGATGCTGTGACTCTTGAATCGCTGCCTATTGTAAAAAGTCTGCAGGCTGATGAACCTGTTGGCTAATAGCCTCACTAATGGTCACAGTATTGGGCTTTTTTAGAATAGAATGATGACATTGTTACAGACATTATAGTCACAGTTTAAGATGACACATCATATTGCAGGAACATGATCTCCAATCTAACCTTTCGCTTGAGCTGATATCTCCAATGAGGGGGAAAAAGTCCTTTCAAAACTCTGCACTGCTACTTTTACCTGTATCCCTTCAAATGAAGGTGAAATGGCTCATTAGAGTGTTAATCAGCTCTGCAGGTGCCTGGTAGGGATGCATCTAAAACAGTGGTTCTCAATCCCTGTAACTTTGTAATCACGTTTCTTGTACACTCGTAAATATGACGCACAAGTTGCAGCACAAACGTTGGTCCACTTGGGGTATTTAAGCTTAAAACCATGGCTAGATCTCACTACCTCAATTGGCAATATTGTATGCCTTGTTATTTGATATATAGTTTTTTCTTCCATATTTAGTGGAAGTATTTGTGCTATAGCTATTGATATGTTGTTCACACTTCAATAGAAGTAGTTTTTCACCAAAATTGAATAAGATGTCAAAACAGAACATTGTGCTATTATAACTTTCAACCATTCTGATGGTTGAATAACCGAAACAGTTTGATTAACGACAATAAATATATGTTTGATTGTGCTTATGTAATTATTCAATAATTCAACAGCAAACATTTTTTGTTTTTTTTATTGAAAAGGTTTGTTTTGCCGATAAATGGTTGTTTGATTGAAATGCAATTCATTTTGATTAATTTCAGATGCTGTAATTAACTTGATTAAAAATCTTTATAACATCCCAGTGATTAATAGAATAATTCCTAAAAATTGGTTTAAGTAATGGATCAACTTTTGCATTTATGTTTGCCTGATTCTTAAAGGGAAACAGACAGGAGTCGGTCTCCTCTCTGCTCACTTCTGACTGCAGGCAGGGTTCTCTGTTCTGTAAAGCTGCTGAAAGCTGGGTAAAGTACCAGTGAAATTGTACTAGAGTAAGAGTATTAGTTCTTAAAAAAATTTTTTACTCAAGTATAAGTCAAAAATTGTTCTTCTAAGAAATTTCTTTAGAGTAAAAGCAAAGTATTTTATAAAAGGCTACTCAAGTACTGACTAAAATTATCTGCTGGTTCCTTTATAATCAGAACATCTGATTTACATCAATTATGATGTAAAGTCAGAAAACATATAAAGTTTTAGGCCAACTGGGGCTGAAACAATGAATTGATTAATCGGGATTAATGGACAATTGTAATAATTGGCAACTAATTTTTTTTGGATTTAAGGTTAAAATCGATACATTTATTTTAAAATTTAATGAATTAATTATTCTTTGGCCATCTGATTATTAATCGATTAAATGAAAAAATAATCGATGTATTAATCCATTTGCAAAATAAACGTTACCTGCAGTCCTAATGCTAACTCTTTTTTTTCTTTCTGTGTGCATTCAAAGGAGATAAAAATATTTCTAGGTGACAGAAACTCTTTTCAAAATATATCTTCTGTTAAAACTCATAAAGTCAATACTCATAGTATGTTATAGGTTAGTATACGGTAGGCACCTCTGGTAACAAAATACAGGAAACTGCTGTATTTTCACTTGACCTACAAATGACACAAAAGGATCTATGGATGAAAAATAAAATTATAATTAAACAAAGTTTGAAGATAAAAAAAAATAGTCTCACTTAAACATAAAGTATTGCTTGTCTCTCTAGAGCATGTGTGTATATATAAATATATAGATTAGATAGATATATAGTTGTTGTTTTTCTAGGTTGTTGTTTATGGAGTAAAATTTATTGTCAGGAACCAAGGTTTGATTCTCCCAGAATTTTAGTTTTCAATTTTTTTTAAGTGCCAAATCTGCCGATGGGAAGAGAAGGACAGTGAATGCCATCAAAGAAGAATCTCCAGCAGTGTGTGTGTGCAGCATTCAAATGTCTGTCTTAACATTCGCTAAGCTACTCACAATATTCACAAAATTTAACAAAAATGTAAAAGTTTCTCAGAGAATAGGAGCATTAGGCATTAGAGATCCTACAGAACTAATACCTTTGCATGTTTGTTTCACACTAGATCTGCCTGCATCTTAATGGAACATAATCTCTTCCACTCAAAGATGGAGTTTAGTAAACCCAACATGTTTCATTGTTTTTGTTAAACAGCAACAAGTTGCTGTAGTTCTCTAAACAGTTTTTATCTGCCTCAACATTCCACTCACCGTTCATATTGATGACATAAATATGGGTCCTAATCCAGCCTAGTGGTTAAAGATAAACAATGTTAAACCATGCCCTATTACCGATGGAAAGTTTAGAAAAATAAAACTTTCCCTGCATTTAAACATTCTTTTCTCTTTTTATTCAAACTTTGCTTATGGATTTAAGTTTTCCATCGCTGCAGCATATTTCCATCAATTCGGAAAATGGGTGGAAAAAAGGAGAGGATGGAGAGGGGTGTTCAGGATGACACCGATGCTCTTAAGTTCAAAGGAGGGAGAGATGCAATGCGTATCGTAAAACTGCCATGTGGTAATATATAAAAGTTTTCAGTTAAATTTATTATTTCTGCTTTTATCTCTGTATTTTCAAGTTAAATTAATCTCAGTCAGGGGTGTCCACAGTAAAGCAATCCTGGGCAGCCAAATAAACCCCAACATCTGCGTCTGGTTCTATGTTCAAGAGAGTCTAATGCCCAGAGGTAGAGTCCTGAAAGGGTCGAGTTTTACCAACCCGCACCCGCCCGAACCCGTTAGGATGACTACCGAACCCGACCCGTCACCCGCGGATATATTCAATTCAAATCCGAACCCGACCCGTTGATATTTAACCCACAACCCGACCCGTTAACACATTTAGTAATAGGTTATAGTACGCTGCGCTGCAGAACAGCGCCATTAACACTGCAGCAGACGTGTATGCACTGACTGTGGCCTTTTTGGAGGGAAGCCCACACTGCCGGCAGGGCTTTAAGCTACAACAAGGGTGACCCCAGTGCCTGATTAATATAACATTTCTGATGTCCATAACAACACACACGCATAAAAAAAAAAATCACCAACTACCCGCCCGCACTAAAAAAATATCCACCCGACCCGTTTATTTTTATTTATGTATTTTTTACCCGCAAAAGAGCATTTTGCAGGACTCTACCCTGAGGTGACTGAATCCGATTTTGCATCCAATCCGACATAAAATGGGATACTTGAACTCTGTTGATGTCGCATTGGAGAAATTTACCTCTATGATCACGCTGACACAATTTTTTGCAACAGGGCTTGCGTTGCTCCCTTTGAGATAGACCCTTGTATTATTTTAGTTTGACTACGCAGCAATTCAGCTGTAGTTTCTTGGTTTCGAAAGGAAGAGAGATGTGGTTACAAATTAAAACACATCCTATTTGGGTGGAAATACAAACTAAAATCTGTCATCACACTGTGCCTAGAAAACAGGTGGGGTAGGCTGGTCAAAAACATTCAATAAAACCCTTTAAAAAACAGAATACTTTACCCATGATAGGGGTTCAGGAGGACAGAAAACTGATATAGCAGTGACTCTTTGAGCCTGGCAGATTTCTCTGAGAATCACTTCTCACTGCCTCATTCATTACCTGCGTTTTCCTTTGCTTTAAACACATATCCTGTTATATTTCTAATGTAAGCCTGTTTAAATTCTCTATCTGTTCTGGCTTGAAATGCTGCGCAGCAGTCAACTTAGGAAATGGGGCTTTGCTTTATTCCCATGGCGTAATAACTTTTTATAAACTTTGCCACTCAAGTGATACTGTAGGGCAGAAAAACGGATGTGAAAAAAACATCTGCTCAACCTACGTAGTCAGAGCCTCTCTATACGCAGGTAATGTGATGGAAAAAATCGGATCGGAGATTAAAAATTCGGACGCAAACGGTGCGACTCAGCTTTTAGTTTTTGGAGTAAAAAATAAGAAAATATAAGTTTGAGGAATTTTTTTAATGTTTAGGAGGGTGAACTGCTGTTTTGTTACCATCTTCCACTAATAGCGACAGTCTGAGCTGAGGCTGAATAGGGATAAGCGTTTTGTTTCACTAGTTGCTTTATTTCAGGGTTAACTTATTTTTAGCTTCTGAATGGTGCACACCCATCTGAAGGGCCTCCAGTGTGTCCCCTCTCTGTGTTTTGGCGAGTTAGTGAATATTTTGTGCGTTCCTCTCAGCCCTTCCTGCCTGTCTGTCAGGATGATTGACAGCTGCTCTGAAGCCAACATCGATGCTGCCCCAGTCTTGTTAGTCAATCTCCCCTCCTCAGGTGAAGGCCAGGGAGTAATGGAG